TCTCTCATCTTTTTAAGTGGGAGAACTTGCACAATTGGTGACTGACTAAATACTTATTTTCCCCACTGTATATATAACTAGTAGAACATTATGATCTTTTGGACCTTGGCCTTAAAAGGTTTTCACTGATTGGACCTCTTTAATTTTAATTGAATACCTGCCCTAAATACTGTTTCAAATTAATGATGGCTCATAACATGATGATTAAATTTTTTATGCTTTTTAAGCTAAAAATATAATGATTATATTCAAGATGGTACTATACATGAATAAATATGGTGCATGTGTGGGTCACAGAAACAACCTCAGTCCAACTCTGCTGGTCCAAACTCAGGAAGCAGCCATCACCCAGGGCAAAATCAGACTGGTTCTTTCCACCAAACACAAACAGGAAGTCTCTGCCTGGGCAAAGAAAAAAGGAAGAATGAAGGAGCGTAGTTAAAAATAATTCTTGAAAAAATAATTCCAACCTTCAGTGTCTAGTTTAAGGCAGTTTCTGTGGGGGGCTTTAAGGAACAGTATTAAAACCAGCTGCTTTGAGACACACATCAGAAAAGGTGTGAAAGAGAGGCCGGCAAAGTTAGAATAAGGAGGAATTCAGACCAAAACATTACAGTCCCACTTTATAAAGACCCCAACTGAATGATTTAAATGTGAAAAGGAAGAATTTAAAAGCATATGTCTACTTGAAGTGAGGGCAGAGCTTAAAGCTTCTCTCCTATCTGTGGCTGTCAAACCTTGATGTTTGCACAATGTCTCATTATAACATTATAAGCTCTTTTTTCTTAATAATAAAAAAAAAGACAAACATCCAACTTGGGCTTTCAGTCTTACTCTGATTTCCTTCCAAAGAAGTGCTTGTTCACCACAACAGAAAGGAAAACAGAGTACAATAAATTTTACAAACAACACAAGCAAAAGAAAGACTGCAGTAAAGAGTAAAGAAACGATTAAAAACAAACAAAATAATAGGGGAAATGCAAACCAAAGCATAGGAAAAAAGGGAATTTAAATAAAAGACATGAATTGGTGGCAATTGACATAAAAATAAAAAATAATGTAAAAAATACACAAAATTGTAAGACGTCAAAAAACATTTTAAAAAGCAAAAAAATAGATAAAACAGGAGCTCTAACACCACGTTGTTTCTCATCACCTTTGTGACTGACCACAGCTGCAGTGTGCCTCCATCTTGGTGACGGCGGGTTGCCTTTACAGACCATCAGCTCCACACAGRTCTTCCCTGCATCTCTGCACGACGTCTCCACGGCAGCTGGTACAACAMCGGGGTCAAAGGTCAATTTGAAAAGGCTTTCAACTGGGCTGAGTGGTGAAGAGCGACCTCCAAATATCACAGCTCCTCCCCCAGGAAGACAGGTAACCGTGTGGTAGAGTCTCACACCTATGATCAATTAAAAAAACATACGTTTAATATAAGAAAAACAACTAAAATTCAATGTGAATGCAGATGTTGAAACTGTAAAAAGACTAGGTAAGAGCTTAAAGTAGCAAAAGGCTGGGTGAAAGTAAAGTAAGAAGACAAATTGAGGCCATGCAGTCTATGTGGGTCCAAGACCGGGGGAGTTGGATCGGAACCTGCCTTAATTACTAAGAGAGATCAAGTTTGATGAATAAATTAAATTAGATGAATACATCATGTACTGAATCTTAATAATGCTCATAAAAATTTGATGCTTTGATAAGACTGTTTTCAGACAAATAAGATGTTTTGTTTTCCGTATGAAGTAGATGCATGACTACTGAACAACAAAAAGTAATCAAGATAACGTGAGCACCATATGTACGTTTTGAAACATACAGTCACATGTTGTAAAGTTTTAGAAGCTATATAGACTAGGGTTGCAACTAACGATTATTTTAATGATAGATTTTTATCGATTTTATCGATWCGTTGTTGCAGCCCTAATACAGACTTTATCATGAGTGTGTAAAAATTAAGGGTCATGAAAAGGTGAAATAATGGAGGAAATCAGGCCACCAGCGAGAGGCGCCAAAGAGCAGAAAGAGAGATTCCAACATGGAGGACGTCCCAGAAAAGGAAGAAAAGAGGTGGACATCAGGGAGTGGTCAACCATGAAGGAGGAGACATCCATCATATAAATTACACAGTTTTCTTTGTTTAGATCAGTCAACGCGGGGTCCGGACTGCCTTGACTCAAAGGTTTATGGAATGTCAACTGTTTTTGGGGCATTAAATAAAACTTTTAAAACTTGCATCGAAACTTACTCTCTCATCATTTGAAACATGGGTACCACTTTACAGTAAGGCTCCACTTATAGATGGCTTTTAAATAGTTTATAGATAGGTTAATAATTCATCTGTAAAGACTTTATAAATCGTTAATAAGTGTTTATTATTCATTAATTAAAGAAGGAAACGAGACAAAACTGTCTGGTTTCTTGCCAAATAGTGAGCCAAATCTGTTAATGTACATATTACTTCTAAAGGTGCTTATTAAACATTTCAGACT